TATATTGTTATACTACATATTAGCTATATAATATATCAATAATCAGCAGCCTGGTCATTAACAGACCACATTAAGAACCTTCAGTAGTCTGATTATTAGAAACAAGCCTTGGGCCAGCCCATGGCTCACTCGGGAGAGTGCGGTGCTGATAACACCAAGGCCACGGGTTCAGATCCCATATAGGGATGGCCGGTTCGCTCACTGGCTGAGCGTGGTGTTGACAACTCCAAGTCATGGGTTAAGATCCCCTTACTGGTCATCTTTAAAAAAAAAAAAAAAAGAAACAAGCCTTGAAACTCTGCGTTTAGTTTCTTCAATTTTAATTGAATACCTGTTTGGTTAATGTAACTATGAGAATTGGCAAAGTTAATATATTAATATAGTTAATATGTTAACTGTATATATGGTTATAATTACAGGTATAGTTACAATTGCAGGTATAGTTACAGTTGCAAATATAGTTGTATAGATACAGTGTTCTGTATAGTTAATACAGAAAGCAGGAAACTATGTAAAAATTAGCTTCATTTATAATACAGAAAAATGCAATTGAAATCAACAATTCAATATTTTTTGTCACCACATTGGCAGAAAATTTTAATATTGATAATATTTGGTGCTGATAAGATTAAGGGGAAATGGATACTTTTATGCTGCTAGTGTCAGTGACATATTAAAATCTTACTTCTGGTACTTTGCTTTCAGATCATTTCCCCATATTAACTATATGGATGTTCATCACAACATTGTTTGTAATGTAGAATACTGCAAATGCCTGAATATCCACCCAGATGGGGAGTGGTTGTATCAATTATAACATGTCTATACTATGAGATACTCTGCATTAAAAATAATGAGGTACATTTGTATGTATTGACTTGGAAGGAAGCCCATAGCATATTAAGTTAGGAAAAAGACACTTCAGAATAACATGGAATGATATCATTGTTATATTTTATGAAACCTTACATGCACATTTACCTCCCACCTTTAGCACCGCTTTGTTTGTGATCTTTCCAATTGCTGTTCCCACATAGCAGGAATAAATTCCTTCATCTAGAAGGCTTAATCTTCTGAAAAACAGAGAGGCATTCCCATTGTGAATCTCATTATGGAAGAGGGATGTCCTGTTTGTGAATCTGGGATCTTGCCTTTCCAAATGGTCACTGCCTTTGTAGTAACTGTGAACATTGTAGGTATCTTGATTTTTCCAGTGAATTACGACTTCGGACCCACTCTCAAATGAGCAAGGGAGAATTATATCTTCATCAAGTCTTCCAATGACAATTTGCTCATTCATGCTACTAACATGATTGAAGAAAGCTGAAAAGAATTTATCTACAATCAAGAGCAGAGAAGTTATGAAGAGAATTAGTGACAGGTGCTTGCCAAGGATTGGATAAGAACTACATAAAAGAACCTTCCTAGGTCAGCAGACTGATCATTAACTGACCACATCATCAAGAACTCTTTGTAGTTTGATTATCATAAACAAGCCATGAAGCTCTATGTTTGAGTTTGATTTTACTTGAATACGTGTTTGATTCAATGTAACCCTGAGAATTAGCAACAGCCCAAAGCATAGAAACAATGGTTTTCTACCCACTTGATCAATAGTCTTGTCTCTCCTCCAATCCTGGCCTGCTACAGTGTGGGAAATTATGTATATAAAAGCCTCCTGTTGATTTTTGTTCCCAGAACACATTCCCTTTTAACACCTACTATAACAATAGTAAGTTTATCAGCTAGCTAGAACCAGCAAGCCTTAAAGAATAAAACAAAATTAGGTTGGGTAGGTTAGGAAATATCTGGAGCATGTAGAAGACAGTGCTGGGTTTGGGAATCAGTAAGTAATATCTGGACATTAGTCTCCAGCTGGGTAGGACTTGGGCAGGAAGAGTCCAAAAGGGGAAATGAAGTGACTCATTTACTTTGTCTTCAGGACCACTCTCAAGATATCCTGAGTAAATCAAATAGTAAATAGTTAAGGAATATTATTCTGGATATAAATGTGGAAGTCCAATCCTCTTACCTTTTTTTAACTGTTGATTTCAGAGGTTGATTTCAAAAAGCAAGTGAATTCAACATAGTAATATTGTATATTAGTCTTTCTATTTGCAAAGAAAATATACTTAGCCAGTTCATATCATTGAAGGCAGTATCCAGCTTTTTTGACCAGTCCACAAAATATTTTAAATAGATCTCTGTGGATTCTATTCTAAGGCACTGGACTGGAGGGGCCTTATTTTATGGACAATGGAGTAAACTCCTTTGGACCTTGACCAAGGCCACCCAAGATGGGAGAATTGTGTGCTGAAGTGGCTGTGCCATGAAGTCTTTTCCTCTGCCTTCTCTTCTGGGGCTCTTTCCACCATGCCATGTCCCACCTCCCTTCGTCCAAGAGATTTAGTTTCTCTACAGAGAGCTAGAGAGATGTGTTGTTATGCTGAAAGACATGGAAAGGTGGGAAGGAAAAGGAGTGTCAACCTCCCTAATTGCTCTACTAAACCCCTCTAATATTTCATTGGATAATTAAGAATGCCTGTCACAGGACTTAGCAAAGCTGACAAGGCCTTCTGTCAAGTGTTAAGTACCAAGCTTACACTTAAAAAATAAAAATCAATCAATCAATCAAACTTAACTTTCCAGTGATTTTATTTCTGGTAGCAGAAAACAGATTAGAAAGAGCCTTAATCCGAGTGGACAGAACAAAACATGCTTTTTCATCTTCATGCAGACTTCTGGCCTGTTCCCTGTTTCTCATTAACTGATCATTTAGGAAAGTTCACAGTTCTGTGGCTACACAGGAAATAGCCACCTGGCATTGTGTGCTCATGTTAACATCTAATGATACAAATTACTAACATTTGTATTATAAAGGCAGTTACCTTCAGATCCACTCAGAGATGGTATGAGAATGAAGAAGACAGACAGCACTGTCTGTGCCTTCATGTCGTGTGGAGGTCATATTAGTTACACTATCAAAGACAGGCAAAGTACACGTTATGAATTTTAAATGCAAAAAGGAATTGTAAAAGAATTATAGTGTCTACTATAGGAGAGTAGTTAAACTATGGTACATTTACACAAATAATTCTTCTGTAGCCATTAAACATGATATTGTAAAAAATGGTTCAATGGCACGGAAGGAAGTTTTTAATATGTTATAGGAGAAAAATCAGATTACAGTACGTGGTCCCTTTTTAAATAGCATGGACCCTTTTTAAAAAGCACAAACATAGGAGACTCACAGAACATATCACTAAATATACATTAACATGTTAACTCTGAAGAACAGTTTTCACATCTGAAGCAGTACCTGCTATATAACAGGTATCAAAAAATAGCTGTTGAATGAATAAAGATTTGGTATACATTCAACATTTTTCTACTATGAAAATGTGGAAACAAATAATAATACTTTTGCCTTTATAGGCCATTTAAAAAAACCTAAAATTTAATCACAGCCTCTTTCCAAGCAAGAATTAACTCTAATCTACCGGTTTAATGTAGCTTTGGGACATTCCATGTCCACTGTCCTACCATAGGTTCACCTTCCCACTCCCCATGTTGAATGAACAAAGATTTGGTATACAATTCATATATTATTCATTCAATAAAGATTTGGTATATGTTCTCTGGATAATGGTTTCTGTCTGTTATTTTTAAAATTTTTCTACAATTGACATATATTGTTTTTTACCATAAAAAAAATCAATTTAAAGTGCCAATGATATTAACCATGGTGTTATTTATAATCACACATAAAAAAACAATTAAAACCTGGAAACATATTCTTAAATGTCCAATAAGAGTGCAAATCATAAGGCAGCCATTAAAATCATGGTTTACAAAGACTGTATTGAAAGCTCAAAAAAGTGAGAAGACAGATGGCCAAATGTGTACATGCAATATAGTTTCAAGTATATTGAAAATATAACTGATTTTCTCTAATGATGAGATTACAGATAATTTTACTCCTTAAGAAATAGGTTTAAAGAATAGAATAGAATTGGTCTTAAAACCTCTAAAAGAAAATTTTAAAGAAATAATTTGGGAGCTCTACTATAACAAGCATGTATTCTAAATTTGTTGTGGGATATGAGATTTAAGATGATTAAAACTATCCTGGAAAGTAAAATTAGATTCCTTCATCACATCTTATTGAAATAAAACCCGGTAGGTTAATAATGTATAGTTTCATTTTTACATTTTAAATACTAGAAGAAAATGATTGAATATACAACTTTGGAATAGGGCTTTTTTAACATGACTATACATTTTTTAAATAGACATATCCACATAAAAGTTGGAAACACAACAAAAACAAATATTACAATACAATACATAGGAGAAAACATTTGTAATATGACAAAAGTTATCATTCCAGTAGCTTCCATCAATTTCAGAGCAATAGCTTAAACAGTTGGTAAAGTGAAAACAGTTGTGAAATAGTATTAGTTATCAAAATAAGACCTTTATATTTCTTTCCTATAGGTGTATTTGCATGTATAATATATGAAAGGATATACATATCACAATAATGATCTCTGAACAGTAAGATTATAAGTAATTGTTAAAGTCATTTTTCTACTATGAAAATATGTAAACATGTAATAATACTTTTTGCCTTTACAGGTCATTTTAAAAAAACTTAAAATTTAATCATAGCTTCTTTCCAAGCAAAAATTAACTCAAATCCACTTGTTTAATGTAACTTTGAAACATTCCATGTCCACTGTCCTAGTATAGGTTCACCTTCCCTCTCCCCATAATGACTCCAGTATTTGCTACCTTCTCTTGAAACTTCCAACATCTGTTTTCTCTATCTCCCTTCCAGCTGATGCTCTTGCTTTTTAAATTAGTTTTGATTAATTATGGATACTTCCTCATCCGGCTACCACCCATTCAACCAACCCATTAACAGCTGTGTCCACTCTTTCTGCCTCCCCTTCTGCTCTCATCCAAAGCCAAACCCATCACTGCACTCTGCAACCCACACCTCTTTGTATCCAAGAAATAGGTCCCTGCATTTATATTCCCTCTCTACTGCATCATCAGGATCTCTCTCTACTAGATCAATTCCATAAGCATATATGCTCCAATATCTCTATCTTAAGAACATGAGAAAAAACAAAATTCTTCTCTGACTCTTAATTACTACCTGCTTATTTCTCAGCTCCATTAACTTCTTGAAATAATCATTTAAATAGCTGTCCCCATTTCTCCCTTTACAATCTCCCCTCAGTCCACTCTGGGCTCCTGTCTGCATGACCTGTTATAAAGTGTCCTCGTCAGTGTCAACCAAGAACTTCCATATTGCCAAAAACAGTGATATCATTTTTCCTCTTCTTACACAACCTCACAGCAGCATTGAGCATAATTGACTGTTACCTTCCTCCTGTAAGACTGTTCTCTTGGTTTCTGGAACACCACATTCTCCTAGTTTTTCCTTTCTCACTGCTGCTCCTCCTTAGTCACCTCTGCTTGTCCAATTTATGTGGAAATATGAAATGTTCCCAGGCATTCTATTTTCCCTGTACTCTCTCCCTAAAAGAGTTCCTCTATTCCATGGCTCTGAATACCATCCAAATGCCAAGGATTCTTAAACATATCTACTGAGTCGAGGTCATATATTCAACTGTTCATTTGATCTGTGTACCTAATGCTCTATGGGCATCAGAAAGTTAACATGAGTCCTTGATTTCTACCTCATTCCTTTTCCATTGCCCTGTGCTCCACTCCAAACAAAAGACACAAAAATTATCCTGTTCATCCTCTAGTCTTTGTCTAGAATTGGTCCTAAATTCTTCCAGCATTTAGACCAGAAACTTAGAAATCAATCTTAATTCTTCCTTTCCCTCATGCCCCATATCTAACCCATTAATCAGTCTTTTTCTTTGTTAACGGATTAGATAAACTCCAACTCTACTATGACCATTCTGCTCCAAAGCAACTATTGTCTCTTACCTAGATATCTAAAACTAAACAGCTGGCTGCTTACCCTTTTTCTACTCTTGCCTCCTTACAATCCACTGTCAATACAGCAGTGAGCAGTCACATTTTTAAAATATAAATCATTCTGTGACATTCTCCTAATTAAATCCCTCCAGTGGCTTCCCACCACACTCAGAGTAAGATCCAAATTCTTAATCCTAAGCCTACCACACTTTGCATCCTCTGGCTCCTGGTCCTGCCTGCCCTTCCATCCTCTCCCACAGTAGCCCACAACATACATTCCAAAAGACTTAAGAACGCAAGCACTCCAATGCAAGGGTCTGTATGGTCATGAGCTGAAAATTTGGTCCTTGAGAACTATTTAATTCATGTTTTTTGAATAAAATGACAAATTACAGTAACCCATTTTCATCACCGATAAAGTACTATGAATAAAAAAACATGCTCAACCTCTTCCACACAAAGGCTTGATTTAGCGCTGTTGAAATAATTTCAGCATTCAGCTAAGTGAAGCAGTTAATGAGTATTTGGCCCTATTTTTATGCCTAAGTTTTATTTTTAGACATTTATTTTCTTCCCCCAAAGCAGCAGAAGCTTCCACCTTGTATTAAACTGAAGTTACCCAAGTTGTAATCAGCACCCTTACAAAAGGGTTCAAATGTTAGAAGCATTTTGTTCTGGTACATTTTGGCTGAATTCCAGATGTGAGGGAGAAAGGCAGAGAGAGGCAGCCTGTGCAGTGAAACACAGCAAAAAGAAATCCAGATGCTAAGACTAATCAGACAGAAAAGAGAACTGAGGTTATTTCTACATGCATGAAATAAAGAGAACAAAACAGCTACCCCTATACCCATCTTAATAGCTGCATACCAAGATGACTACAGACATCAGTACTAATTATAACCATGATGACAAACATCACTTGTGGTTGGTTAGTGACACTCAGGATCAATCCTGGCCTCGTAACTGCTGGTCTCCATCTGGCCAGAGCCACAGAACACGTCAATTCTTTTTTTGAGAAAGAAGAAGGTTTAGCATCACTGGCATCATCATGCCAGTTCATGAATGCTCTGAATTCCTTTGAGGAACAGCAGCTTCTAGGGAGCTAATTCCCCTCTGCATTGTTTTTAAATTCAGTGCTTCTGCACAGTGCTGATGGCACTGGGCCAATTTGCGAAAGTGGTAGTAACAAAAGGAAAATGCTTTGTAGCATCCTGGGGATTTCTCCTAAGCATCCATTTAGATTTTAATAGGATTGACTTTGTTTAGACAGAAAAAGAACAAAGAACAGTTTTTGGATTACATACACTTTACTCAAAATATCTCCCCTGATGTTTTATAGTGGAATTCTACCACTTACAGGACTCAAATATTGGGTTAAAACTTTGAATCTCTAGGGATGCTGTCTTTGCCCTAGGCTCTGTTTAATTTTGTTTTGTTTCAGAAACCAGGCTAAGAGTATGCACTGATACATTTTGGGGGAGGTACAGAGGTGCCACTGCAGGACAGCATCAGTGAAAGAAGTGAAAATAGGAAGAAAGCAGACCCTAGGTGGTGGTTGCCTTACTGTCCACAGCTTCAGTACAGAAAACAAAGGCACTTGCTCAATCACAAGGGACAATCTCCAGACATCCTCTTCTGAACCACAGCACCTCAAAAAATCCATCAGAGGAAGAGAGCAAAAGGAATTTATCTATAGGCTTCCCCCATTAGTCAAAGTGTCCCCAAGGGGCGTTCATGCTCATGCTCTTCCTGGTTGTGCAGCTGGCCCCTTGGGACAGCCACTGCAGAAGCCAGGTACCATGCCTCGCTGTATGACACTTTGTATTTGAGTCTGGAAACACAGGGTGGGGGAAACCGCTGTTTCTGTGAGTCTCCTTGGGTCATGCCTGGACCCCGTAGTGGCTACAGCTCGCAATGTGGCAGGTACAATGGAAGACTTGCTGGAGTTGGCCTCCCCAGGGGAGATGGGATCAACTGGTGACCTTTGGAAATGTGGCAATGACACTGGGGCCTGGGC